AAGTCCATTAATGGTTGGCTGCCGTTGGATTCGCAAAAAAAAAATAGAAGATGAACTTGAATCTTTATGGCTTTATTTTGTGGATGGCAAAATTAAATCGAATCTGGTGGTTAAGTCGTAATTCAAATAGGTGAAGTATTTATTTTTTTTTTATTAGCTTTTAGTAACAATTATTAAGCTCGAAGATTATATACACATCATTACACCATAGTTAATTAACAATAAAGAAAATAGTAATTAAATATCATATAAAGTTATCATAATAATATTTAAGATACTGATAACTGATAAGTAATGTTAGCGAGATAATATAATTGGTTAGGAAAGAGAAAAGAAAGAGAATATAATAATAATCGTAATAATAATGTAAATATTGTACAGATAAGCTAGGATAAATGGATTTCATAATAGCTGGTAGAAAAAGTAAATTGTTGGTATTTAGTTGTGGTACTTATGGAGAGTGTTGTGTGAGTTATGAGGTTAGGTATTTACCTACCACATTATAAAATAGACAGTCGGAAAAATTAGAAGGATAAAAAAACAATATCAGCTGTTTTCACCCCAAATCAACATTTCTTACTATTGGTAGTTATACCTAGCTATGCAATTATATGTTACACCAACACATTCCCAAGTGTGATGTGAAAAGAAACTTCGGAAATCAATGTTTACTTATCATTTATTATTTTACTATTTTATTTATGTATTATTAACTTCACAAATATATAAACTGTAAGACGTCGATTAAATTACTATTATTGGTAAGTTATGTGTTAACATAATATATTTTATAGGTATTATAATATTTTCCTAGCCGCCTTAATTAGTTTACCTACTTTCGTCCGCACAATTAAACAATAATATTATAATTTATAAGCACAACAATTGTATGTCTAAGTTTCAAAAAACCTTTCGTATTAAGCTCAAATATATTTGCGGAAAATGGTATATCTCACGATTCAATTTTCTCGCCTTACCGTATTTCTTCGCAGATGATGTATTATATCTGTGTTGAAATTATTCACTCGCGTTCTTAATAATATATTTTATGGTACCTACCTACCTACCTACCTATATTAGAAAAAATAAATAAAGTTAGACTTTTTGAGTGACGGTCGACGTAAAATATTATATTGAACGATTTAGGTCTTCCCAACCCAGTTATTGTTGTTTACGCGAAAAAACCTCCTGTGGTGTGCTAAAACAAGAATTTCGAAACACACTCGTTATATTATGATAGAGCTAGTTATATTATAAAATCTTATTTTGGAAAAAAAAATTAGTCGAAATTCAATATTTGTAAAAATAAACTAAAAATTATCAATGTTTTGTACAAGTATCAAAGTTAAACAAACCAGTGAAAAATATACAATTTTTAAGCCCCGAGCAACTACGGATCATGAAACCAAATTTACACGGCGATAGGTATGTATACATTGTGTACTGCATAATGACGAACTAAAATGAATCGTTTTATAGGGTTGAGATCATGTACCTCGTTGATAAAAATATATGTTATAATTTTTTCTCTTTTGAATGTATTTTCAATGTTTAATTACTTAACTGTACATAAAGATTACAACTTATGATTTTTGATTGTCAACAATTTACTTTCATATTAATCGTAATGGCGGTTTGATGAGTTTCTGAATACGTCTTAAAATGTGGTTGGTACTTTTTGGCGTTATTGCACCATGCAATTTACATAATATTATAGTATATCATAATTATATAGTACTCACTAAATATATTTTTAATTGTAATAATATGATTTATTACACACTTATATTATGGTAGGTACCGAACAAGGAATAACGTTGACTAGTGAAGCCTAACGATGTACATCATTGTATATTATTATTTATTATACTATATAGATATAGTATGTACTATTTAGATCGGACCTTGCAGTAGATTGTTGGTACCATGGTGTATTCTTGTCGATTTTTGTGACAATACAACTATAACAATAAGACAATACACAACAATATAATATGTTTCTGCAAGTACTTACATCAATTTTTTTAGTTCTGAACCGAGCAAGGATTGTATGGACTTTACAACGATGAGTGTTTTTTTTGCTAGCGACTAAAGACAGTAGAAAAAATGCTTCAATCATCAACTTAGGGGTGATTGAAAATCTCGGATCTAGTTTGTTTGAACATTTTTGAATTTTTACACTAAAAAATCGGGTATGTGGATGTCTCTCTGCTGTACATTAGGGGTGCTCTCTGCTGTACGTTAGGTGTGTAATAGGTCGTTGTAATGGATCGTATTAAATTTGAATTCAGTGATATCGAATCATAGTATATGAAAAATGGTTCTGAGCGGAGACGGTATGTCAGTTTGGCTATTTTATATTGTTATTACCTACTTATGATTAATATGGTAGCCGGTAAGTTGAATTAATATTATTCTTAACTTATCAGTGACGCAGAAAAATTATCAAATAAACCTATGTAAAATTGGGCTGTTTTGGAACCGAATGACAACAAAATGATAACCATTATTCTTTGTGATGATATGCAATTTTGTCCAAATTTGAACTTAAAATATCTGTAGAAAATTATTGTATTTATAGATTTTTAGATTTCTTGATTATGGAAAACACTGCTTAAGTGGAACCTTGTTTTAAATGCTCATCCTTAGCTATGAAAATTTAACATTTTATCTCATACACATTGAACAACAAAATCATTTCCAATTTTCAATTTGATAAATATTGTCAACATTTGAAATTTAAACGCTCATAAAAAAAAATCATGTCTATGTATTTTTAATATTTTTTAACCGATATTGTAACAAGTTATCATGAGTCTTGTATTAAATTGTCATGCTTTTGACCCAACCAATACAATTGTATTGACATTTATAGAAAAAAATAAAAAAAGGAAATGTCGGTCGACAGCCTATAACGAGTCGGACTATTTTGAGTATTTGGTTTTGAATTTTAGACTTCTTATTGTTTCACTAGATCTACCAAGTTGGAAATAGACCATATTCACATCATATGTTGCTGGTAGTTGGCGTGTATTAGCGAAAATTGGTTTCCTATCCCAATAACTAATTAATATCACACTTGCAGATGATGTGGATAAATTAAAAGAAATAAATGCTTAACATATGCAAAATTCAATGAATACTACTGCTAATGTTAATATCTCAGAATTTAGTATGTCTAGTTCACATAATAATTAATTAAAACAATATTATAGATACTTCTTTTTTAAATTATTGTTGCTGATCATTGACATTTATAGAAAAAAAATGAAAAAATTGAAATGGAAATGTCGGTCAACAGCCTATAATGAGTCGAAATATTTTGAAAGCATTATCAAGTATATACTTTATTTATCTTAACTTACCTATAAATGAATGTACTATTACCACATTAATTTTAATATTTGTTTAACAATAAAGAACATTTTATTTCACGTATTATTATTAAACCATTGTAGGCATTTAATCTCTTTTCTGTATGATAATGTACTATTATACAAAAAATAAAACAAAAAATGTACAAAATGTAAGCTGTATCATGATGAAAATGCCTAATATGTTAGTTGGACAAAAGCGGCTAAATAGTAAACCATGTTTCAAAGACTATTAAGTCTTGGAAGAAAACAAAATCAAAATCAATAAATGTGATCATTATTTATTTTTTAATTACATTTATATTAAAATATAAGAATATAAACATTAACATTTAAGAGGAACACAAACAAATAATTATTGTAACCATATTGTTAAAAAACAGGAATAATACTAAAAATATTTATAATAATATTACAATTTGTCGCCGAAACTAAAAGTCAATAAAAAAAAAATTTCTCCTATAATATTATTCATAAAACTTATTTAGATTACAATTTCAAAATGAAAACCTAACAAATCAAACATACATTCCTAATATCTATAATTACATATGTACCTATAATAATGTCGAAATAAAACAAAATATGCAGTGGTTTCAGTTTCTTCGTTTTTGATTGTGTCATAATCTGGCAGTTGATTCTAATATGCCGAGTCGATCAAGTTTAGCTAATCCAACATAAAATACCGGGAAACAGAACATACAATTATCATAAAATAACGCACAGTTCATAAATTCATACGACATAGGTATATAGGTTATTATATTATATAATATATATTTATAGGTATCCATATCCAACTGCTGTGGATCTCGAATTCGTCGTCACCTTGGTCAAATCTATACTTTATCTGCTGAGTAAGCGGAGTGCTTATCCGTTGAATTGATATAACTACCAATATAATATCGAATCTTGATTTGAGATAAAACAGATTTTGTTATTTTATTACTCTTTTTTTACCTATCGCATATAATATAATGTAGTAGGTAGGCTTAATTATAGGTACTTGACTATAACTTACGACTTACCAACCAGATTCAACTTAATTTTGTAGTTGTCCGCAAAATAAAAGCATCTGATTCGCGTTGTCTATCAGGCATTTATGGACTTACTAGAAATGATTCGACCACCCAAAATTGTACGTAAATGTTTTTATAATATAATATGTTTTTTGAATGTCTAACTATACGCAATAATGTTCAAACAATATAGCATATGAATGAATATAATACTATGAATAAATATGATATAATACAACAAACTTATTGCAACAAAAAATGTATATTTAATCACAAACAAAGAAAAACCGTCGGGTATATCATGTTTTAATACACAAAATGTAAAAATGCAAAACAATTGTTATTATAGGTATATGCACCTATCTATCATGCATATCAAAAACAAAATATGAAAAAATTGAATAGGTACATCAAAAAGTATATGATCGAATACATGATAATATATATATAATATATTTATATATCTATGATATTATCAGAATGGAAAAAAGTTTATAGATTATTAATTTGTTATTCAATATCTGAATAAAATACATTTTGAAAACCAGTAAGAAAAAGTTAAAAAAAATATGTACTTAAAGCAAAAAATAATGTACCTACACTAAAGTGTGAATACAAATACAAAGAATTCAAAAAAGTTGTAATTTTAAAAAAAATAGTTCCGAAAAAAGTTAATAAAAATGTGCAAACCGTCAATTTGAATGGTAGTTAACGGTACTCCAAATAGTTCAGGCTGACTGTGGTTACTACTGGTACGAGCATAGAAGGTTGAACATAAATTATTCTACGTTCACAATACTTTGGCAGAAACATATTCTACGTGCCACGTTCACGAAACATTTCCAGACGCGTCTTTTGGACCTCTTCCAAACTGACCTGCGAGCAGGTCTACTTGGGATTTCGATCATTTTTGACTGCACTTGCGGGATAGTGTTCACTCCACCATACTTGGGTGGGAGAATATTGATCTCTGGAGATGACTGGATATGAACTTCAAGTTTATGCCGTAGCTGCAGTGGCCCGCAGAAAGCTTTGATCCTGTGATCGACGGCCAGGTCCATCGCGTCGATCAGTGAGGATCGGTGATGGAGTTGCACTGATGTTGGTGTGGTCTAATAATATGATAAAATAAAAAGTGTAAAATTCTTTAACACTAAAGTCATACAATATAATATCATATATACATACCCGCTCTGGAGATCTGCTGTGTACATCATCGTTGTCATCATCGTCACCGTCTTTATCATCGTCGTTGTCGTCATTTTCATCATCGTCGTTGTCGTCGTCATTTCCATCATCGTTATTGTTGTCGTCGTCATCTTCATCTTCTTTATTAGTCTCATTATAGTCGTCATTCTTATGGTCGTCATCAGTGTCATCGTCGTCATCGGTCTCATCGTACATCTTTTT